GAAAAAAAATCTGGGAATCACTGGTTTAAACTGACACCAGCAGAATATAGATTAAACTGTTGCATGGGGGTTGCAGTTAATTTTATTACAAAGTTTTATTTTGAAAGTGCACTTGATGAGGATTGAACAGGACACTATACTCACTGTACAATGATGTGCCGAGAATTTTAAATAATTGAAATGAAACTATTATTGAATCAATTTCATAATTTTCTCTTTTCAATTTACATTGTTGTTACATTATAGCATGGTTATTTACTGTAAGCAATTATATTTGTAAAAAGGTATTTATGAAATATTTTTCTCACCAGATTGAATGTCTTTTGCACATAAAACAGTATCTAAAAATATCTTACTTTATAAAATGACTTGAAAATTTACATATTAATTGCATAAAATCTATTGTTTGCTGACACTGTTGTGTGTTTTACTATCCCAATTATCTGACCTGAGTATATTTTTTCTATATTGAATGTGTTTGCTGTTTTCTATGGATTGGTCATTACTCATTTCTATGGATTGGTCATTACTCAGCTCCTTATAACTCTGCATGGTTGCAGGTCTTACTTTAAGAATTATTTTTGTTTAATTTTATTTTAATTTTTATATTTCTTTAACCATTTTATTTTCTAGCAGCTAATCTCACTGATGCAGCTTCCAATTGGTCATTGCTAATCATGCGATCCTCTTAATTCATAACTTTGTTTCTTTGTATGTTTAACTTTTATTTGTACAAGAAGATGGCATTAGGTTTGATATCAGCATTTTTGTTTTTGCTGGCATAACATTATTAATTTATAATGTTAGATTTAGTATAGTTACTTGGATGGTATGAAAGGTCACCTGATGAGGGCATGGATTGACCTCTTGTTAAAAAATTGAAAGTGAGTTTTATAAAGACATTGAGGAATTTGTCTCACCATCAAATTGGTAAATTATTTTCAAATATAAATTTGGTAAAGGTTTGATATTAGTATATTTCAGTATAAAATACACTCACACACACACAGAGGGTGTGATGGATAAATTGTCTAAATTACACAAAAATGAAAATAACGCTGACATCTCATTTTAACAGATATATTTACTAAAATTACATAAACATATCTTGAAATACTAAAGAGTAAATTTATTCAATAAAATCACCATTGGCTTCAACCACAGCATTTAGATGATTTTGAATTGAACTGCAACTCTCCTGGACGGTTTCCTTGTTTAAGTTGATAAATGCAACCATAATCTTTGCCTTCAGTTCAGCTTTGGTGTTATAAGAAGTTTTTTTTTGTCTCTTGTTCAACTGCACCCCACACATAATAATCAAGGGGGTTACAATCCTGGGAGTTAGGTGGCCAGATGTAAGGGGTGATGTGGTCACAGAAATTGTCTCACAGCCATGACTGGGTTCTGCGTGTGCGGCATGGTTCAGAATTCTGTTGCCAGCAGACACCCTGTGAAAATGAATGGATGCATAATGCTGCCATAACTGTTGATCACTCCAAACACCTTCATAATCACTATTAGACTCATCCAACTCTTTCCAAATCCCCTGCACTGTCCTCACTGAAACACTCTGGGATGTTTGTATTGGAGCTTCCAACATGAATGCGAAACAATACAGCATGTCATTGCCAAATTTCTGGCGGAGTGAATTGTTATTGTGCTCTTTTTCTTACAGACAGTGTCCAACTGATCTTACTATACTGTGCAGTCGACAAAATCAAAAACAATGTGCAATTAAAAATTAATCAAAAATATAAAATGGTGACAATTTACCCATCACACCCAGTCTATATGATTTTCATATATGTATAAATATGAGGGATGCTGAAATGTTCTTGGTCAAACCAAAAATTCTGACTGTTTGGTCATTTGGTTAGATTTGTGGAAGTAGGTTATGTTGAGAACTTTTCAACATGCCTTCATGTATGAGTTATATATATATATATATATATATATATATATATATATATAAAATGGATTTGTTTTTAATCTGAATATTACTTCAAACATTTTTTGAGGGATACCCATATTTGACTTCAAGGCTTAATTTTAAATAGTGTTTATTATGTGTACCACCCTGCACACTTGAGAGAACTTAATTTAGAAAGGACACATTTCTTAAGTTCTTTTGAGTCTGCATCCTGGTAGATGTAATAAACACTGTTTAAAAAGTAAATAAAGAGTCGGGAGGTCTTACTCAAATATGGGTATCCACTAAAAATAATGTTTGAAGTATATATATATATATATATATATATATATATATATATATATATATATATAGTTGCATGGATAGTAGTTTGTAACCTTGGGTTTCATCCTTTTGCAATCATCAGACAAATTGGTTTATTTTTTTCATCAGTGGATCTATTTATGCTTATTTGTGTTTAATATTATTTGATTTTCATACACTGAAATAGAATGGCAATTACGGATATATGTATGCTTGAATGCATAGATGTGTAACTGTGTCTAACCTCAGATTATTATTTATATGGGTGTGTTTGTACAAACTAAAATGCATATACCTGTATGTATGTGAGAGTGTCATCCCAAATAAACACAGAAGAAAATTCCCCCTCACCACACACAAATAATCAAACAGAAATAAGCATGAATAGATCCACTTTTGAAAATATAAACCAGTTTGTCTGATGATTGCAAAAGCGTGAAACCTGGGGTTACAAACTACAATCTATGTAACTGAATATGTTAGCTCTATCATGGTTATTGAACATTTTCCACTAAGTACCACACACACACACACACACATATATATATATATATATATATATATATATATATATATATATATATATATATCAGTTGTATGGATAGTAGTTTGTAAACCCACCCGGGTTACATGCTTTTGCGATCAATCATCTGAGTTTGTCTGACGATTGCAAAAGTGTGAAACGGGGACTACAAAATACTATCCATGCAACTGCATATGTTAACTCTATCATGGATATTGAGCACTTTCCACTAAGTATCACGCATATAATATATATATATATATATATATATATATATACATACACAGACACACACATACATATATGTGTGTAATGAGGCCAACACCCGCATCGACAGTCTGTTTCATGCTTGTCGTCAGGTCATAAAGATTGCGTTCAAGCACGAAACACTGCTGTTCTTGCTTGGTATTGATCTCAGTGTCCACCTTTACATTTACACTCTCTCTGATATTGAGCACTTTTATCAATATAGTATACCTTATGACTATATTTTATCATATATATATATATAGCTTGAAGTGTATATTAAATTTTTATGTGTAAGTGACTCTGTAAATGTAAACATCTACTGTATCAAGAATATATATGAAAGCCCCATGACAATTCAATAATATCTAATACTGTCAGAGTTCTTTAAAATCTTTTCATTTTTTTGTTTTTCTTTTTTTTGCATGGTGGGAGGTAGTAGATTGCTTAAGAGTAGTTTATTTTGGTTTTAAAGTAGGGAATATCAACTTGTATTGATGCTGTGATAGGTTTATGTGCATCTTACATTTTTGCATGTTTGTTGCTTAGATCTATGTACAGTAGTGATAGCTGCAGTATATATCAACACAGAATAACATTCAAGAATATCCTATATAAATAGTACTTAGAGTTGATCCTTTGTTTGTATATGTTGCTAACATTGTTAAGACAGTTAACTCATTTTTGTATAGTTGCTGTTGTTTAACACAGCTTTGGCTGATCTAGTCTTCAGCCTTTGTCAGGTGTAATCAGTAAGAATGAAGGACACCTCCTTCATGAAAAACCCTATCTATCTTTTATCAGATGCTGAAAAGTTTTTATCTCCCCCCCCCCACCTTTAACAAAATAAGAGAAGTTTGGTAATTTGGTCAAATTTGGGGAAGTTGATTTGGTTGAGAACATTTCAGAAACTCAAATTCTAGTCAGATCCATTACATTAACTTAATGCTAATACTCTTGGGAAAGGTATGAATCATCTTCTTCTCCCCCCAGCTATGGGTAAATAGCAGGACATACTGGCTACTATAACCTTGGGTGGCAGCTGGTGTAGAAGAAGGAAAAACTCTGAATTCAAAACCATCCTAGAGAGGGTTGTGCTTTGTCAGGCTATGTTGCCCAAGAAATACCACTTCTACTGTGGCTGCAATACACATGGTGCCTCTACAACCATATGGGTCATGGGGTAAAAAAAACCCCCCAAAATCAGTAAGAATGAAGGAAACCTTCAAGAAAAATCCTATCTATCTCTTATCAGAGATACTGAAAAGTTTTTATTCCATCCCCTCCAACAAAATAAGAGAAGTTTGGTAATTTGGTCAGATTTGGGGAAAATTGATTTGGTTGTGAACATTTCAGCAACTCCACACACACCTAATGTACGATTCTTGGTATCCTTCTCAGTATAGGCAAAATGAATTTGATTGCAATCAAAACAAAAACAATTAGCTGAAATAATTGCTTTCCAATCATAGGATTGGTCAGTTTTCTTTGATATATTTGATTTAGAATAGACTAGTCCCTAAATTGTTGATGGTGCTCTCCTTTAGTTATTGTCATCATTATTAGCATAGAAAAAAAAAAAAAAAAAAAAAGAATGTGATGTTTGCCTGAAGTACAACACTTGCAGAAAGATCTGGTTTCAAATGTTGTTTGTTTTTTTTTTTTTGTTTTTTTTTTTTTGTTTTTTTTTTAAGAGTTCATAAAAGGAGAACTCTGTTTGCTCTTACGCATGTATTTTGCTTTGAATTTGTGTGATTTGTATTCAGTAATTGAAAAATTTCTGTTCTATTTGTAAAACGTTGTCAAAATCCTTTGTAAAGTCTAATAAAAAATATAAAACCAAAAACTAATGCTTAAATGTTAGTTGTTAATATCTATTATTTTACACTAAATCCATTATAAAAATGTTTGCAAGAACTGATATTTACTATAATTTCTTAAAACAAAAGCTGATCTTATATTTCTTGATTTTTTTTTTTTTTTTTTTTTTTTTTGCAGTATATTTATGAATGTCTGCAGAAAGATATTATACCCAGCATCTTTTTGGTCACTCGGTCAGAAATTGTCAGTAAGTATTGCTACATGTTACTCTTTATTCATAATGTCTTTTTGATCACTCGGTCAGAAATTATTAGCTTTGATAATATCTATCTATATCTCTGAGATGAGGTATTATGATTACTTGCATTATTTACATTATCCTGACTGTTATCCTCATCTTCATTGGCCATTGGATAAAGACGTTGGTTAGATCCAGTGACTATACTCAAAGAGTTACGAGTTCAATACCAGGCCACAGAAGTGGTAAACCAAAAACTTGGAGAGTTGAGTTAAGGGTAAATAACTGAGACATCAGGAAGAGGTATGACACGTGGAACTAGAACAATCTACCCCGGTGAATGAAATAAAGAGTTCTGTTCAAAATTCCATTCACCTGAAGAAGGCCGGAGCATACAACGGCTGAAATGTTGTGAATGTAACAATGAAGATGAGGATAACTGTCTGAATAATGTAAATAATGCAAGCTTTGATCATGTTGCTGTCATTTGAGTTATATTTCATCATTAAAATAAAATAAGAAATGTAACTGTAAATCTGATTAAACTTCCTTTTTTTCCTTTTGGTTTATTTGTTCCTCTCATTATTCCTGAGTATTCCTTTGCCCCTGTGTTTATTGGTTTATTTCAGTATGGTAACCTGTCGTCGATAAAAAAAAAAATAGTAAATGAACTAAAATGATTAAATCTTGGCAGAAAAACAGTATTGCAAGTTTGTGTCTGAAATATTTTCATTTCTTCTTTCTTTGACTCATCTGTTAAGAGAAATATAAGTTTTTATATTTGTATACAGCAATGCAAATCAGATACATTGTTAAAGCTGAATGAAACATACAGTGTTTTCCTAGTTCAATTGCAATTTTTAAGGCCCGAGTTGCACATTTTTGTACTTAAGAGAAAGTGACCATGAAGCAAGTCATTAGCATGTATAATGCTTTTAACATGTTTTGTTAGATAATTTTAGCAATAATCTTATTTATTAAATTCATTGGCAATCCTGAATATTACAATACTATGTAAGTCTTAGAATTTTCTGATTGAGTCTAAACAGGTGTAAGTTGACATATGTCCTGTTTGTACATTTTTCCATTTTTGAAATGAGCCAAAAAGAATGACAGAAATTTCTGGATTTTGGAGTTTGGCCCCAATTAAAAAAAAAATCTATGCATTTTTATTCTTATTTTTTTTTTCTTTTGAAGTATTTTTCATTTCACACAAAACAATGAACTTACACCCTTTTAACATCATACTGATGAATTGATAACCTTAACATCAAAGTCAGAAGTCTGTCTTCTATAACAAGATCTACTTTACTGTTTAAGGCAAATATTATAGGCTCAACATTTTGAATTTAATCTGAAGTGGCAACAGTAACTGTCATTCTTAGAGATTTTAAACTTGAGTGATAAAAAGATGTCCATGCCAACACTAGGTATTGAATAAAGGACTTTTAGGTTAATACACTCCCAACTTCCTGAACTATACTGTCTGCTAACAAGAACTATATTAATGACGTTTCTCTATTTAAATATATCAGCCATTTAAAAAAATCATCCCAGTAAAAGGTATGAATCCATCATTTCTCTCCCCCCCCCCGCTGTGGGTTAAATAGCAGGAATGACTGGGTTCATAGCCTTGGTTTGCAACCAGTCTACCACAGCAAGAAATGGCCACCTACTGTGGGAAAAATCTTCTGTTTTGTCAGTCATGTATTGAAAGATACATGATCGCCCAAGCATGTATCATATGTGGCACTTAACTGACTGATCAGTAAAATATCATTAACATAAAATAGAAATTGATATTTATATTGAATTCTAGGATTTGAATTTAGGATGTTTCAGATCTTCAGGCTAATACTTTACCAACTTCTAAGCTGTTTTGGCCTTTTGGAATCTTGTAGATATTATAAAATTACTTTTGTATATTTGGTAGATTTTTGGAATATAAATATGAAAAGTTGGAACTTACGATTAATGAAATGTGATGCTTCTAAGAGTTGGTGTTGCAAAAGATCCCATTTAGAATTCTAAGAACTTTTAGTTTGACAGCAATCTGTATGTACTTGGTACATTTATATACTTGTAAAATATATTATGCATTCTGTCTGAATTTCTGAAATGAGATGGTTTGGTTTGTTTTACGGCATATCAACCTCAATGGGTTATTTAATGCCGACAACATTTTTTTACAAAGTATTTCTGGTATTAAAACCTATTTTTACACTTTCATAGCGTTTTTACCCCAGTTTTTGGGTTAACTATTTGCCCATAGCTTGGACCCTAACAGGTACTACCACCCCAGGTCAGAGTGGACCTGGGAATACCAGCAATTAAGAGGTGGTTCCATGCTCCTCAAAACCTCCTGATCAGAGGCCTTGCTGCTGGACGTAGTTTATTGTCTTACCCAGGATGTGGTTGTAGTTTATTGTCATACCTAGGATGAAAATGAGATTAGGTTCTTATAGGTTCTCAACTACTTCTGAACCAATCAAACTACAAAGGAATAGTCAAATGTTTTATATTCTATGTGCTATATCCCTTCAGGACTTTGATGATCATGGCTCTCCACAATTTCCTGTCTTTTGTAGTTCTTAATAAATTATGTCTTTTTGTTATCTCTCCTAAATCCTTCTCTTCCATCTATTTACTCAAGCTCATTAAGTAGGTCATATATTGCTTTCCTCTGTCCCTCTTTTCTTCAATATGTCCTGTGAGTATCAAATTTTCTAAGCCCTAGTTCCTCATTATATGCCCACAGAAATTTCAACTCTTTCTGATGTTACCATTTTGTTTCCATTTTCTCTAAAACTTTGTCATTGCTCATATGTTCGGTCCATTGTATCCTTAGCTTCCTTCTGTTATACCATATTTCTGTTGTATCATGTCTCTTCTTCATCTGTGAGGAGATTGCCAAGTATTCACTGCCATAATTATAGGGAGACTGGCATTGCATAACGGTTCAGTATTCTTTTCTTTGTTTCTAACAAAATTTTCCTGTTTCTTAATACTTTGGTTAGCTTTTGGAAGGCATCTTTAAATTTGTCAGAAAATTCATTAAAAATAACTACCTTAATCATATCACAGCCTACTATATTTGATTTAGCATTGTCAGTATATGTGTGTAGAAATGTCATTATGAAAAAATAGTCTTATTAATTCAACTTTGTGCAGATTTGTGACTAGTAAACAACAAAGATGGGGACAATAGCCCACATGTAAATAATGTCAGTAATGATCTGTGGTGAACAATTACATAGAAGCAGGTGAGTCAGAGTGGCTTGCATCTGGTGCAAAGGAAAATAAGTTCCTTACCTCAATAGATGACACGTAGCAGCAGCATTTTGTTTCTTGAAAATGGCATGAATCTCCCCTCCCCACTTTAGATTATTCCAAAAGTGTATATTCTGTAATGAAAGCTTTTGTACAGCTTGGTGTTGTTTGACCAATAACAAGTTGTGTGCTGATTGGTTTGACTGGAGGTTGTGATTTGATTGGGTAACTGAGGACAGAGCAAAGAATGCTAATTGGTCAGTTGGCCATGGTGTTGGTATGACAAAAGATGGCTGAAGCATTGAGAAGCAGAGCAATTTTTACGTTGGTGACGTGTGCAGAAAATCAAGAATGGCAGATTGAAAAAGAAGTATTTCATGTTGTACGAGTGACGTCAGAGGAACACAAGCTCATTTACTCTACATAATCTGTATTGCTTTTTCTCTTCTGTCTGTTTGGTGATTATTCCATGTTTTCTTTCTGCTCTGGCAACATAAACATTGTTGAAAATAAAAGGATAAATTATGTACAAAGTTATATAGATTTATCTTTGTTGTTAATTGCCAAGTTCTTTATGAGTTTAGTGTGTAAAAAGGACAAACTAATTTTGGGAATGTTTTCTGCCAGTTGAAATAGTACAGGGATTTTCAGTGCTTTTAATATGATCTGTCATTGTCAACATTAATCATTTTTCTCACTCCTGGACAATTTTTGATGACATCAATTTTATTAATGAGTTTGTCTTCTTTTTATTCAGACATTTTTCATTTTACTTTTTCCTGCTTCATTTTTTACTTCATATTCATTTTGTTCAAAAAAATGTGTGAAAACAAAATAAAATTCAAAATTAAACTTTCCTTCTTTTAAACTACATAGTTTTTTTTCTTTTTTTATTTTGTCTATTGTATAGATCAAATGACTTGTCTGTATTGTTTTAAGTGAAAAGGAATTTTAGTAAGAAACTGCAATATCTGATTACTTTCTCTCTAGGAAAAAACGTACAAAGCTATTTTAAAAGCTCACTGGAAGTAATTAATACCAAGTCACTTTGTATTTAGAAAATTTATATTATAATAATTATTTGCAAATAAAAGAAACTATTCTATAAATAGCAGTTGATATACTTGTAGTTATCTCCCTTGAGGAATTAGAACTTTCAGAATGTGTACAAATTCAGAACCACAATTATAGAGTTGCAAATTGGACTGGAAATTAATTTATTCTCGGTCAGAACATTTTAAAAGTATTGGTATAACAAAACCTCTCTAGTATGTACTGTTGGTAAATTATTTAATACATAAAATTATTGCTAAAAAATAAGTGAAACTACTCTATAATTAGCATTTAACGCACCTGGAGTTATTTCCCTTGAAAAATTGGTTGATTTATAATATAGACTAGCAGTAGAGCCCAGCGTTGCCCGGGGATGTAACAGTAAGAGATAGATCAAGTATCGACCATCATAAAGACTGAAAAATAAAATTGACAAAGATTATTGTTTAAGGTTGATGGACATGCATGTCTTAGTTAGTTTTTTTTTTTTTTTTTTTGTTTTTTTTTTTTACAAATTGGTCAAACCCAAACTCAAACAAAAACATTGTTTTCAATCGTTATGAGTCTATCGATTGAATAGAATTTTATTATAAACAATTTTCTTATAAATGGAATTTTTAAAGCATTCTGAATGTAAAAATAAAGAAAAAAGTGTGCAAGACAATAAGAAACACTACCTGCCAAAA